GTGTGTATGCAATGTATATGTAGGAATATGTATATATAAATAAATAGTATAAATATATACATATAATACATTTTACTTTTAGTATACTGTATGTATGGAGGTATATTGTGGTGGTAATTGGCAATAATACTGTAGCTACTTAGCATTTTCAAATTGTTACGCTTTCAGTGACTTTACTATTTATCGTAGATACAACATAAGTTACATACATATTATTATAGAATCTAAATGTATTTAGTTCCATTGCTCTTTAAGACACAGCCAGTGTGCATTTATTCGACCGTCCTAAAAATATAAAAATAAATAAATATTAAAATACTTGTTAGCCGTTTTATTAACAAATAAAAGAAGGAGGACACGAAGCAATATGTTAATGAGATAAAAAAGGCGCATGTGATAATTCAAATACTGGTACTTACCATTGGCACAACATAACTTTTATACAAAACAGCCAAACACATAAAAGCTAAGACGTACAAATTAATTCGTTTATTTGATAAGCTCGGTTAGAGAACAAACGCATAAAATGAAATTAATTTTAATAATCAGCGCATGCAATTACCTTACAAAATAATTTGAAAGACATGCAAAAATCACATGATGGATTCGTAACTATCTGAATCACTATGTACAGTACATGCATCATCGTCAGGAGCAATTTCTATATCTACGTACACTATACGGAGCGTATTTGTGAATCCTGAGCCTTGTTTCCATCCCGTGATCACTACGACTGCATCGCCAGACTTGACGAAGCCCCGGGTTTTGCCGAATTTCAGACCAAATTGAACGCGGACGTCAACGTCCTTCACCCAATCAGCCAATGGAGGATCTGCGCGCATTAAACAGAAAAAAGATAACTGTATTCACTGTATTCACTGTAACAGTGAATATGTTGATTCAATGAATTCATAACTGAAACATTACACACTTTCGTAGTAAAGAGGCAAGATGCCACGGTAAAGGTGCGCTTGTCGTGCGACTTGATGGAATCTGGTTACTGCGATGATAGGACAGCGCGGTCTGTACTTGGCAACTAGGTGCGCGGAGCGTCCGGTAGTTGTGATTACGATGATAGCACTAGATAAACATTTCACGGACGCCTCCACCGCTGCGATTCCGATCGCGTGCGTGGCATCGATCGGAGGTAATGCTTTCAACGAGAGATCGTGGAAGATCTGCGTCTGCCAAATGGCAGCTTCCGCTTCCTTACAGATGTTAGCCATTGTGCGCACGCACTCCAATGGGTATTCTCCCTTGGCAGTTTCACCTGAACGAAACGACAATTATTTATCATACCATAATAAAGCAAAGTAGAGATATAATTATTCAGCAAGCGCTAAAATTAGATAGATCGTAATTAATTATTTATACCTGACAACATAACGCAGTCTGCCCCGTCGAGTATAGCATTCGCTACGTCCGAAGTTTCGGCTCTGGTTGCGCGCGGTTTCTTCACCATAGACTCCAGCATCTGCGTAGCGCAGATCACCGGCTTTCCAACTTTGTTACATCTGTTGATCATAGACTTCTGCGCTAAGAATACTTTCTCCGGCGGTATTTCAATACCAAGGTCGCCACGAGCTACCATAATACCGTCAGAGGCCTCGATAATCTCGTCGAGATTCGCCATGCCCTGGTGGTTTTCAATCTTGGATATTATTTTAATGTTCTTCCCCTTCTCGCCAAGGATTGAGCGGATCTCGGCCAGAGCCTTCGCGTCTCGGATGAATGAAGCGAAGATCATATCGACATCCTGGTCAACGCCAAACTGCAAATCGGATTTATCCTTTTCGGAGACCGCTGGCAGATCTACCGGGGAACCCGGTAAGTTGACGCCCTTACGAGAACCGAGCATTCCACCATTCTCAACAGTGGTGACGACCGCATCAGGAGCTGAATTATATCAAACAAGTTTCGTGGTTTCATCGCGTTCTCTTAATCCTTCAAAACAATATACATATAAACTGTGCATAAATGACACGTACTGATTGCGGTGACCACGAGAGAAATCAAACCGTCATCGACGTACACGCGACTTCCAGGCTTCAGTACCTTCGTGATGTTCTCGTAATCAACGAAAACTGCACTTGCGTTACCCTTTTCCATCATGGATTTATCGGTAACTAATTTAAAAGCTTGGTTTTTAACTAACTCGACTTCAGCGGATCCACCCTAATTAATCAAATAATTCATAAGAGTAACCCTGGCTTAAGAAGATTGCATTACTCTATTAATTGAATAAATTACGTACACCCTCTAAGAGACCGGTACGGATTTCAGGACCTTTGGTGTCCAGGGCAATCGCCACGGGAACATTGATGCCCGTACGGCTGGAAAGATTCTTCTGCGCCGCTCGTACATTAGCGATAGTCTCAGCGTGGTATTCGTGAGATCCATGGGAGAAATTCATTCGAGCAATATTCATGCCTGTCTCGATCATCTTCTCGAGCATTTCGACGGACCTCGAAACCGGTCCGATCGTGCAAATGATTCCAGAAAGACGAACGAACGACGCATGATTTTCGATGTCCAGGGCGCATAGGTGATCTAACTGGCTCTGAGCGTACAAAGCTTGCGTATTCGGCTTTCCAGCCATCTGTGACAAATTAATCAGCACCGATTAAACGAAATTCTTGTGCAAGTGAATTGAAACACACGTTGTGAAAAAGAATGCAAAAAAATTAACAATTTAACTTCACAGCGTTTCTAAACATAAATATATAAACTTACACATAGAAGTTAATTCAAATATTACGTACGAAGTGTAGTCGCAGAAATAGTACCATACAACTTTTATTCTGTATTCAAAAATCAATTTTCGAATAAACCAAAGTTAAAAGAAAAATAAAAATCGTATGCAAACTGACACGGTGACAAATGCAATTGTATTTATTACATTCGTATTTTCGGAGCATTTTTGTTCCGATTATTCGGGAACGTCTTCTTACGTAATTCGTAAAAGTGGGACAATGATACACACATGTACAATAAAAAGGTCTGCATTAAAGTAAAAAAGAGAAGAGGACACGCAAAATAAAATCAATGCCAAACAGTTCGTTCATTGTGCGATTGCTGAGATGTTATAATACCTGATCGTGGTCGGTAATCCAGACCATTTTGGTAGGCTGCACAAAAGAGGATACTCGAATTAGTGAGAGCACGGCATCGCTGAAACCGCGATTACGTCTGATTCGATTCGTTGATATAAGAGGTGAATATGTCGTATTATCGGACAAGCAACGAAAATTCCGCAATGAACGGGAATGGCACAGACGGAAACCGAGAACGGTCGACGGACGTATTAGACCAGGCATTTTTGCCCATGCCTGTATTACACGATAACGGTGCCAATGCATACATCGAGTGGACCAAAATTCGATCATATCAAGTGACTATTTGCTTGTAGGAGTTACATTTTTAACACTTTCTAATGTTCCTCTATTCTGCTGATAGAGTAAAAAATTCGCATTATGAGACGATTATTACTTTCGTAAAATATCTTGAATGAAAAATAACTGTTATCTTTCCTTATACCATACAAAATAATTAAAATGATTTACTTCAAATCTGCATACACATTTTGGTTTCTGTTGTCAATCTTATATGTATGCGAACAATATTTACAATCATATTTTTTAACTTTATACATCCTGGTGAATCAAAGAACTTCCTGTTGTCACACCAACTCATATATGAGTTTTTATCAATACAAATACGGTCTATATTATGAATATCATTTGGAATGAAAGTTTACAATATTAGGTTGCATTATTTTGCAATTTGTACGATGTTCACGTGATACATACTTAAAATACCTACGAGATATCGTACGTTCGTTAAACAATATACCTTCCAATTACAGTTTATTCAACAATCTTCCCAGAATTCATTCATTATTCATCTTTATTTCTTTGTAATGACTTTCTTAGGAATTCAACAAGGAGATATACAAGTTTTTTGTATAACAGATCATTATACTTATAATAATAATAATAATAATAATAATAGTAATCGATATTATACTAATTAAACATCGCTATTAAAATTGTACACATATAATATTATCGTACTTTATGAAATCATGTTGAAGTACTTTATATCTGACTTTTTATCACAATCTAATTAAGAAAAACTGGATTAAGTGTATCGCGATAAAGTTATCACACCATAGGTGCGTGTTACATATTCCTTAATTTCGCAGAAGGAATCATCAGGTTCAACAATTTCGCTTTTAGAGTTCAATAACTGATATAAAACGATAGATGCATTATGCAATCGTAGCTCGTGACGCAAAGTCTCGCTATATGGTAATTTACATATTGTACATACACTATTTTCTTTTTCTATAAATGGAAGAAATTCTAAAACAATATTTCGCGATAATCTTCATTGAAGGATTAATAGGAATATTAATATTAGAATATGATTATGCATGAACACTTGACGTAGATTGTTCAATGTCTTCGTATCGGAATTTATAGACTTATCGATATGATTTTACATAACATCGATGCTTGCATTATTTCGTTACGAAAATATGTTTTGAAACATGTCTATGTATTTTTTCATAATCTACTATCTGAAGCAAAACATGAATGAAATTGAACAAAAGGTAAATAGTTTAATCAACTTGTTATGTCGTAAATAGATGAGTTCGTCCCTTAGATAGAAAATTTATGAAACAAGAATCAAGCTAAGTAACAATTACACGTTTGTATGAAATACGTGTCACCTGTTATAGTTCTCAGAAAATGAGTTCGAGGAATGAAAGGACGGCGTATTAGAATTACAAATTCACACCTTTTAATTCGTTGAAACAATTTCAGGTCTAAATAATAACTTTGAGTTTTTGCAGAACAATTTAAAGTAGATACGTCTTTCAAGGTCAAAGTCGTGTTCATAATTCTACGTATTGTTAAAATAAATTTACGAATATCATAACTTTATTTGTAATAATAAAATACGTCTCTAGTTCCTATTTGGAATAAATTGTAATCTCGACCGAAAAGACGTATTCCTCTGGTACAACATATTCCGAATAGCAAAACTTTTAGGTTAAAATGATCAAGGTCATGATCACATAATACTATATTTACTCTTAAATTACAAAAGTATTTTGAGAATTACCTTTGGAAAATTAATAGAAGTTGAAGTTCAACGAGACGGAAGTTAACGAACGGTGCGTAAGTCAATGACAATGAAACTACCGCACTTGGAGTTTGTAAGCAACTGAAGTTTTAAGGACACGAAAGGTCATTATTTTCTGGGGACACCTATCTCGTACATTCAGACCCACTTACAATGCAAGGAGTGTACAAACTGTTCATTTGTCAAATCATTACATAATTTTTATTTTAAACCATTTCTTTAAACAAAATGTTAATATAAATCCAGAATGAAATCAGATTAAATTACGGCAAATATATAAATCGTACGAGTATCACAGGCGAATAGGAAATAACGTGCAGATGCCGCTAGCTACTAGGTAGAATATCGTGTACATAGAAATCATCCTTGTATTTCGCATATATACATTATTATACTGCACAGTGTGTGCAGGATTGTATTATATAGGAATTATGAACCTTATGAACTTACGAACGTTATTGTGACATTTGTTTATCATGATATCTGAAAAGTATTACTATTTATTATTTCTTGTTCTATTTTGCGAGTTACGACATGATAAGTGAAACAAGTTATGACAAAATTGAAAATAGTGTGCTTTCACAATCTTACAATGGAAGTATTAAAAGGTATCATGACCAACCATAGGTTAATGTTATCTGATTTTTTTGTGTTCTTTGTATACTAACTGAATGATGCATTGCACGTTTTAGAATTGTAGGATTGAAATCTAACTTAATTAAAATTCCTCCCAAACTCATTGAAGAACGGAGAAACTTCTGGCATAATTTTTTCAATAAACATTTGGAAAATGTATGAATAATTTCATTCTTATAAATATGTATATTGACTGTTTACATTTATTTTCTTAATGATTAATAATAATAAAGAATTTAATTGGTTTTAGACATCAGAAGAATACAGTATACATGATCTTATGTTTGAATCTTCTACCAACACACGTGTGTATAAGCCATTGAGTCACATACAACATTGGATAGACACAGGTTACTTCCCTTATAACAAAAAACAATTTAATATGGACGAAGACACACAGTCAGATTCTTGTTCTGTATCAGAACCTGAGAACTGTTTCAAATCACCACAGCATGTTGGGAAAGAAAAGGCAAGTGAACAACCGAATTACAATGATAACTTTTCCAGTAGTTCTGTTGATACCACAGCTTATATTTTGTCAAATGCGAACATAACTAAAAAAGCAGAAACTATTGCTATCGTAGAAGGAGCTAAGTCTAATGCAGTCGTGCAATCTCAGAATATACAAAGTACGAACATGATGCCAGGTAACATGTATGAAAACATTCCTAATAGAGCATGTGAACAAACTAATAAGAATATCATCTTTAATGACAACAATGACAATTACAAGCAATCTTGCATGGAAGCTTCTCAATCTGTGTTAACACAGAGTAATGATGTAGAAAAGAATATAAATCAAATAGAAACAAATTTAGATGCAGATGTCAGTCAAAGTACACTGTCAAACGATGATGGAGATGACGCATTATCCAAATCTTATTACAACAACTTAATATATAAGAGATTGGCACAGACGTTTAACAGCCCATATAGAAAATACAATACAGAACGAAATTCATTAAATATAAGTTTCACGTGTTACACACAAAACGCCACGCCGCCAAGCAAACTTATAAAAAATGGGCATCGTAAAAAATTGTACACTGGCAGAGATTCACCAGTTGATCTTGTCAATATGAGCAGTTGCAACAGAAATTCACTGTCTAAGGCAAGACATAGTTCGCATCCTGCACTAGATTTCGGGTACAAGTTACCAAACAATCATAAAGTTAAGAAGCTGAGCAGGATAAGATGTTTTTCTCTATTTAACAATAGTAGCCATTTATTTAAACAACCTCGGCGAAGAAAAAAGAAGCCGACTTCTAAGATAACTCCTATTGCTCCAACAAATTCCTCAAAAACTGATACAGTTACTGTAAATAATAATAGTATTAACAATTCAGCAGTTGATAAACGCGTAAGACGTAATTTTCTACAGGATTTAGATACATCTTTTTCCACTGATGTATCTAACGAAAACAAATCCAAGTCCACCACTCATTTAGGAAAGACGAATGGATCAAAAGAATTAACGAATTTAATTCCAGTCGTATGCTTAATGAGAGTGTCAGAAGATGAAATTAAAAGACGTACAAGATCAAACAGGGAAACTGTTGACAGTTTAAGTACAACCACATTATCAAGAATACATAGAAGGAATAATTACGGAAAACGAAAGAGGAAACGAACGGGAAAACAACAAACATTAAATCGCAAGACTCTTTCAATCTCTACTGGAACAAATAGTAGTCAAAGTTATAAAAATTCAAATAACGCGACGGCAAATTTGAATCCAGTGGTTTGTTTAAAACGACTGTCAGAGTCCGACATTCAGAAATACAAAGGAGTCGCTAATAAAGAAAGTAACATTGACAATTTCCAGTCGACCGTTCACATAGAGAGATTATCAGTATCTAACATCACAAAGTATGAAAGTATTAAGGATAGAGAAGTATTACGTAAAGACGTCTCGTCTGAAACTACAAAATCACAGAATGTAGATATGATTACAAATAAACTTTCACGTTATAATAAATCGTTAAATCTTCCAATTCCTGCGTTAAACGTGATTAACGTGAGAACTGAAGATTCCTCCAGCGATAGTAGCACTATTCTATTTTACAAATGTGGTAAAACGGAACATAGTAAGTGTCGTCTAAGTAATGATTCTCTTATATCCGAGACTGATTTTGAACCTAACGTTATACAACCTTCCACTAAGCGTATAAGAAGGACACGAAGTGATAGAATAGAACAAAAAAATAGTAAAGTAACGGACGAAGAATTAATAGAAGCCGGACGAAGTAGGAGATCAAAAAAGAGCAAAACGGACGCAACAAATCAGACGACAGTGAATGATAGTGAAGGAATAAGCAGAATGAAAACGGGAAACAAACACAGAAGTCAGCCAGGACTCGATGTCATTAATAACTCTATTAACAGTCATGGATATAATACAAGAAGACGAAAGTCTGAAGAGTTACGTAATATAAATAATTCTAATGATTTACTTTTAATGAAAGATATGAAACAAATAAAGAACTCCTTAATAGCACCTGGGAGACATGAAATGATATGCAAAAGTAGTAGTAGTAGTAGTAGTAGTAGCAGCAATAGTGTAGATGTAATAAATAAGAATAATTATAAGGAAATATCGCACAATTTGTTTTCATCCGATGAAGACGCCTTTGTGCAGCTCGTACGTTGTCCAGAAGATATAGGAAAAATGGAATTAAAACAGCGTTACAAAATCTTAACTCAAGAGTTTAATAAGTCAGAAGAACCACAGGACAATAATGATCTTCATACGATGCATGAATCTCCAGATAATAAATCACATTCGAAGTTTGTTACCAAGAGTTCAATCAGAACAGAAAATAATTTCGTTAGTACAAAGCGTAAGAGATTTTCAAAACGGTCAAGTAATTTACCGGCGAAAGATAATTGCGGGGAAGAATTCGAAAAAGAGGGAACTATGAATAACAGTAAACAAAAAGTATTATTACTACTTAACACGAGTGGTTCACAGAATAAATCAAAGACAACTCGTCTACGTTTCCAGACGAGGCTCTTTCAATCTGACTCCGAATCATCCTACATGTCACATCGTTCATCCAATAAATCGTTACTAGGGGATGAAGAATAATGTTTAATACATTTTCATGAGCTAATCTACATGACTTCTTAAATGAATCTCTCTTGCCTCACTTAAAATAGTTACCAACTATTTTTTTTAAAGGTTGATGATATTTAAATTATATGCCTGTTCATCTCTGTGTATTATTCTCTTGTGTACTCTTTGTGTAATTACTAAATAAATGAAATCAATTTTTTTACATAAATAATATTGTAATATACATTATAGAAACATTTTTTTCACGTTCTATCACCGTATTGCAATTCCCAATACATGTTGTTTAGAAAGAATAAAATGAAAATATTGAGAGACGAAGCCATCGAGTGTGAACGTATCCCACGTGATTTGATAGAAGCCAGCATTTTTTATATCTGCGATAGGATCGACGTCCAAGTTGCAGCCACCGAACAACGATGGCCATAATCTTGTACGTGATAACATTTTCTGCAACCATCGTATAAAAGTTCCTTCGTTTTCGGGTGTGTGCTCTATAAATAAATATTGACCGCCCTAAAAAAAATCCAATGTAGCTTAAATTATTTTTGTAATTAGCTCCATTCGAGAAAACTTGATGAAACTTAATACATAGTTATAATAAAAGTGATAGAAAACAATACTTCAAATAGTCCAAATCCATAATTAGTACATTAGAATAATTTAATATCTTATCAGATAATAATTGTTTACCGGTGCCAGTACTCTGCGAATTTCTTGAAGCGTTGATCGTGTCGATTTCACCGAGCACAACGATCTCGTTGAGACAACTATATCCACGTATCCTGTAGGTATCTCTTTCAACGAACTACCATCACCGGTTATTAGACGTTCGATGATTATGTGGGAAAATTCCCAAGAACGATTTCCTTTTATTAGATATTCGGCCAGTTTTACGTTCCGGTCAACGGCTATCAAGTGTGTGCTGTCTGGGTAAAATTGTATATTCTCACCTGCAAGATTCAAGTTTAATCTACGAGAACCCAGTCTTATATTTCTTGTAAATCTAAACAGATAATCTTATTGGAAACTGAAATTCTTTTGTAGTGCGTTAGACTTCATAAAACAGTACTAAATATTTTTTTGAAAACGATCGGCCTTGGTTTTAATCTGTCGCGATGATGTAATTCGTTATTTAATTGCTTTTTACGCACTGATTCTCATTTACGATGATCCTCTGTGACCTTCGGTAAGATAAATGGAGTAGATGTACACAATAAGATCATCGATAATTCATTGTGAGAATATTTCAATTAGACAATTTTCTTCATCTATAGAAATCGTTTATGCACTTCAATTTTTATCTTCATAATTAATGTAAATATTTATATTAATTTCTTTTAAATCGGAATGCCGTAAGGAGGCTGTGAGAAATACTGAAGTAATTTGATATGTAACAAAGAAAATCAAGGTGTCTTAACGATATTAAATACATGGAGAATAATGAAATATTTCGTCTCCAGTTTATACGATCCAACTTAAATTCTCAGAACAAACATTTGTACTTTACTTTCACATTGCTCAATTACTTTTTCTCGAATATGGAACGAAAAGTTGGAGCACGTCTCGTGAAGAGACAATTACGACGCTGCCATTAATAATATACATACATGTAAATGCACACCCGTTTTAACGCCAATCTCGAGAAGCCGTATGCAGCCCATGGCTCGTAATACGCGATCACTCGAAACAACGTGTTGTAACGATTCGAACAAACATTTCTTGTAGGGTGCCATGAGCTCCGCGCACTCCGCTTCGAATCCTGTCAAGTAACATTTGTAAATGCACTTTCGCAACCACGGCCAGTTCTGTGATATCGAAATCGCGATTAGAATAAGAATAATCGCCGGCAATCCGTAACTCGTGATCACGTCGCGTATCCACAAATCACTGCTACTCATCTTTCAACGACAAAAATTAGGAAATATCTTTCCCTCGAAACTTGTGTCCCTTGCGTTACTGTACAAATAATAGTAATTACGCTTAGCGAACTTCGACGCGCTTTTCCCTGCAGATTTTTTCAGTCGACTGCAGGCGCGTTTTTGCAGCACATGTCGCTTTGAGGCGACCAGTGTTCACTGGAACGAAACACGTAAATACTGACTGCTAATCACATAAGATAAGATAACTAATGTAACATTTTCTGACTGAATAATATTCCCTCAAAATATAAATGAGAGAATGTGTCCATTGAAACTCTCCAGTTTTATAAGCTTAAGTAATTGATGCATTTTATAGATGAAATTTATTGTTCGCATTTTATGAAGCCAAGGATTCAGACACAACGTGTTCTAAACACACAGTTCGAGAAAACAGAAGATCAGGGAAGGGTATAGGTTTATCAAAGAGAACGCAGAGAGAGATTCGACTATTAGGAAGGAGAGGTACAGCGAGAGAAGGAACAATGAAATCTCACGTTTTCGAAATGCGAGAAAGAGCGTAAGTACAAGTTAACAAAGGGGAAACGGCCAGCGGGCAAAAAGAAAAACGCTCGAAACGAACATATCGGCGCGGCCCAAGGGGTGCGCCGATTCTTTGTCACGCGAGTTTTTAAGAGTGACCACAAACAAAACGGAGTTCGATCAATTTGGTCCCTCGAGCGAGTGCGCGCATTCGTTTGCCTCTTGCTCGTGCTCCCGCCGGTGTACGTATACGCGGCACACATCCAGCCCGTTCATTTCACACGGACGAAACTCGAAATTCGCCCGATTCAGAATCATTTCGCCAGCGGTGGAAAGGCGTTTTGTTGTTGGCATTGGGGCGGAGAGGAGGCCGACCGTTTTCGTAATGGCTCGTTGATTCGAGAGAATCGTCATGAAAAAATCATGCGTGCATGCGTACGTCTTTCCTGCTTCATCCCCCTCAGTTCCTCTCGCTATACGTGCGCCAGACGTCCCTACTGTTCTCCTTCGTTAAAATACGCTATTTAAGGTACTAAAGTCTGGATGAGTTGCATCGTCTAATATGTCTAAATTGACTACTCAAAATCTTGATGAGAAAGAAATGACAAACTTTTTTTCACTTCGGTCGCTAATTTCTTTGCGTAGAAATTTTATTGTGTATCTATCCTTTCCCTTCTTTCCATCCCGCTTTCCCGTCATTCGAGAATGCCCGGAGGCACGTCAGCAACTTTAAGTTGGACACGTACAACCACGTGAACAATTCCTCGAGTACTTGGACGGGCTTATTGGTGAGCACGAAGCGGGCGACCGGCCTATCTTTTTGATCTTTCAAGAGTGAAAAATATTTAAATGCTGTCGTTGCTGTTTTATACTTGACGCACTTGTGCGCGTCGTCGTGCTCGCTGCGACTTCTCCGCGAACAGGAGGGACGTTTCATGAATGATTAATGCGTGAGTCCGCACCTTGAACACCTCCATTACCAAATACCAACAATATTCACCAATATCACTACATTTTCGTCAATAAGATTAAACGATTAAATATATCGAAATAATTTTAACGATTATAATTTCTGAATTATAGAATTTTTTGATAATTTGATATAAAAATAATTAGAATTGGGTCAGGCCAAGGGTAAATTTTTCGCTGGGAACGACGAGTGTGTTTTAGTCCGGTGCAACAAACTACCTGTAATATATTCAAGACGGGAGGGATTCAACTTCAGCGAAACACGACGCCGTGAGGCATACAAGACGCGTACTCGAGAAGAAGCTCTTTTTTTCAAGTGTCGCCACGGCAGCGAAGTCGACGGCATTGTCTCCATTGTTGGCGAATCGTAATCAATATTTTCACAATATCCCGCCATTGTGCTTTAGCACGAGCGAGGTGCAAGGGTTCTTCGTACTTACGCTCCGCGAAGCTTTTGTTCCTCGGCATCATCACGGGTCATTGTTTAACAAGTACAGCTAAAGTTATGTAAAATATGATACCGGGAAAGGTACATATCTTCTATTCCACAGAAATACTTAAATCATTTTTAATCAATTAAGGAACTCGTATAGTGAATGTCTGAATTTGTGTTCACATCCCAATTCCTACCCCACTGGCTTGTTTCTCTGTTTTATACCAAGTAATTATGATTTTAAGGAGGTAGACATCGATAACGGCATGATAAGGCAAAATTTCAATATTGCCTAGTTTTGCCAAAGATATGGATTTATGTTATTCGATTCTATACTTTTATTTTTCAGAGAATCAAGACAAATTTCGTTTTTACTGTTAACTCAATTATGTTATATTTAAATGTATAAATTACATGCGATTATAGTTAATATTAGAAAGGTCACGTGACTATCTTAAGTCGGTTTGAGTGTCGGATTTCAAGAAACGAGAATTGCTTAGTGGTTTGCTGCGTTAACGCGTGCTAGGTACCGGTGCCCTGTCATAAAGTAGTAAATACATTAACTAAGATCGACAATGGGTCTATCATCAAACAAATCGTAAACGATCACAATGCGCGAAGGCGACTCCAGATCGAGTAAAAGAATGCCGTGAAAGTAACGGACCGTGCTCCTGATTTACGACGACTCGTTCTCAAGGCTGAAGGCAACACGCTGACACGAGGACACGATTCTCTTCTGGCAGTTTTGACTGTTCAGTTCCGGTTTCGCAAACGGCGTTTCTTCAAAATTTCAATTCTTTTCAAGGTTACTGATAAATACTTTACGAAGTGTATGAAAATAATGATAGATATCGATCAACCGTTTGATTGATCGCCTCGAGATTCGTGTAGACGAATAATGGAGGTAAAAAGGGTGCTGTTGAGGAGATTCGAAGGGAAACCGGAAACGTTATAGACGTGGCATCAAGGGTTGAACTTTGTAGTAGATCGGCTCGACCTGGTCGCTGAATAAGAATTCCATTTTGATCGGGAAGAGGTGTCCGGGGTAGGTTGGCCCGGTGCGAAGGAAGGGAGGAAGCTCACGTCGGTGCAAAGATTTTGCGCATTAACGGTGTTCCGAGGGAAAAAGGGGGTGTTCCCCGATATCGTGGATTTTTACAGGGCCGGCAGCCCGGCCATTTATTATTTCTCGCCACGCACCCACCGGCGTGCCAACAATACCGTCCATTGACAATTTCTGCTTCACACACGACGCCGCGCACCGCGACGCTCCGCCCACGATCGAACTACAGAGAGAAGCCGACGAAGCCCGTTTTGTCGGCTGCCCTGAATCCTCTGTCGCTCTCCTTTGCTGACACCGATCTTTCGAGGAAAAGATTCCTGTTTGGATCTCTTACTCCGAACCAACCATCGTTTCCCGATAAATATTTCCTTTCCAAATTTCTCTCTGTTGGGATACAAAATGCTTCTGTTTCTCCTACATTTGCCAAACTCCTATTACACTTACTAACACCTACGCATCAAACCAAACCACCATAGACAGCGGACCATGGATATCAAGGCACAGGCGTCAGTAAAAAGTAACGTAAATTTTCAGAGCATGATCCTCTTTCTAAAATCCATGTAATGTTTGTGACGCCAGAAGAAAAAGTCAGAAACAAAAGTGCGACTGTGAAATTCGTTGTGACACGGTGTTCGTAGAATTGTATCGAGGACGAACGGTTCAGAGGACGAAAATTGTTCACGGAAATTCGCGTCATGATAGGACATTAGTGTTTTACGACATTGCATTATCCTGGCCGTCACGGGCGTCATTCAAAATCAGTTTCCATCTGTAGCGGCAGGAGCAGCTTGAACGCGCGACGACTTTCAGGGGAGAAATGCGTCTTTGTCGTTTACGAGATGACTATTGATCTGACCGTTCATTGTTCGCGAAAGGGATCGGCAGGAAACTGCATCGATGCCGGCCAGTCTCTTCCTCTCCCGCCGTGTCTTCTGAGATCCGGATGTTTAACCGTGACGCAATGAACATTAGTAATCTACAGTCGTATTTTCCGACCACCCGCGGTTCTCTTCCGACTTTTCCCGGTAACGCTTGCCTTCCCAACTTGCTCCTGCTTTTTTTCACTCTCATTGTTACAATATAAATGGAGTGACGTCTAAACGGATGGCTTGATGTTGAAGAAATTTCCTCTGTACTTTTATCATTAATGTATCTATTGAAAATCCTTTTTTAATTCATATGAGGATGGATGGTGTTTCGTGTTTGAAATTCTTCCGAGCTCGGATAAACAACGAATCCAATTTGAAAAGGGTATTTTTCATTCGGTTCTCTACGGTGGATTTTCATACCTGGGGAACACCGAATAGAAATATGTATATACAACCGCCACCATGGTTGCCGTGGATTTTCAGTCACGATCAACATCGTGGAACCAACCACCATCCAGGACGTTAGGTTCGTGCTAGGGGCATCTGGATCCGGGCATAAAGACCCACCACCACAAACAAAAGGCCTCACAAATCGACAGCGCCGCCCCCGAGAAGAAAGAAGCCGGGGGCCCACGCCGACAATACTCTGGCATGTTTTTCAATATTTAGTCATCATGACTTTTCGTCGGCCCTTTCGGCCGAAATCTCCGCGTCGAATTGGAAACTAGATAATTCAATTAGACTGCAGCTGCTGACACGGCTATACGCGCAGGTAGAACCCATCACGGGATTATGGGGAGACCGTGGAGACGCGCGAGAAAAACGAAAAGAGAACGGCGAGGCACCCTTCGCGTTTAGCGAAACCCTTGATATCTTTATTTCGTAGCCCGTCGCTTGCTTTTTTACCATCATATCCGTTCTCAGTACAGAAATATTTTTCTATAAAGTAAACGAGACACTGAAATCCAGTTCCAAACAGTTGCAAAATAATTTAGAGGAACATACAAGTTTTCACGGGATAAAAATTATCTGTAAACTATTTAAATAAACATTCGGCAATCTTCAGATCAAGATAGTAACACTATGAATTTCTAGGAGGATGTCGTTGTTCGATAGACGTGGGCAAGTCGAAGCGACCCGTAGGAATGGACATTCTGAGAGACCGATTATGCACGCAATAAATAGATTATCGGCGATGGTGACTCCCGCGGCGGGTGACGAATTTTCTTGAATGCTCGTTGGAAATTCGTCTAAGACTCGGCACGGAGGATAGGATCAGTCATACGTACCGAAAAAAGCGCTGAGAGGAAAAGTCTGCCGAGGGTTTCTCCCGAGGCAGTCATGGTGAATTTCTGAAATTAGT